TGGCTTTGAAATGAATCATTATTTTATTGGAAATGTTTGTTTTCCCAATTCTGTCTGCCATTGGCCAATATAATTGTGGCCTTGCACTCAGCCAGCACACACCAAAGAGAAGTAGATGGAGCCCCGCTCTGCAAGTAGGACCTTGGAAAGGAGCTGCCTCCACCACAAAGGGAGGTTGGGGGACAAGATGGTCTTTAAAGCCTTTTCTGGCTATAGTTCTCGAGGTGGCTCAGAACCTTCTCAGCAAATAGGTCAGTTATTTATTGATGTAACAAACCACTTCAAAATTTACTGGCTTAAAACAACAACAATCATTGATTTTGCTCATGCAATCTGGGCAGGGCTTGGTGGGGAAGGCTCACCAAGCTCCCCGCAGCATCAGCTGGGATGGTTCCATATGGCACTGGAGGAGCCATTTCCGAGATGGCTCAGCCACATGGCTGGCAAGTGGGGGCTGGCTGTCAGCTATGCACTCGGCTGGGGTGAGAGCCGGGGATCTTGCATTCTCTCTGTGTGGCCTGGGCTTCCTTACAGCATGGTGGCTGGGTACAAGAGAGCTAGGTAGAAGCTGTATCACCTTTCATGGCCGAGGCTCAGAAGTCAGGCAGCATCATTCCTGCAAGCGTTCCAGTCACGAGAAGCAAGTCACCAAAGCCAGTGCATATTCCAGGCGAGGGGAATTGGACTCCACCCCTTGATGGGAAGGGTGGCAAAGAATTTGTGAACATGTTTTAAAACCACTTCAGCAAATGATACCTCTGGTGTCCACCCTCATGTGGGGTACTATCGCTGACACCTCCTTTTTCCTTGTCCCCCTCCCCTATTCAGCCAATCACCAAGACTTGTAGATTCTACTATCAACAATTATCTTCAAATCTTTCCATTCTCTCATTTCACGCCTGCACCATTGCATCATCCTGACTGACCTTCCTGCCTCCACTCTCTCTGTGACATTTAGGATTAGATTCGATTGCATGTGAGAAAAAATCCAAATAACAGTGGCTTAAACAAGATCAAAATATACTTCTCTTTTACATAAAAGAAACTGATACATAGCTGTCCAGGGCTGCTATAGTGGGTCCCTGATTCTCAGGCACCCAGGCAGCTTTCATTCTTCTGCTCCACAGCCCTTAGCATGCCCTGGTCCAAGATGGCTGCCCAAGCACCAGCCATCGCTTCCACATTGCAGCCAGGAAGGAAGACTAGTGAAGAACGATACACCCTCTCCCTTTAAAAACCCTTCTCAGAAATTTCTACTTAGATCTCATTGACCAGTACCTAGTCACATTACCACACTTAGCTGCAAAGGAAGCTAAGAATGGAAAGTTTGTTCTAGGCAGCCATATGCCTAGCTAAAATCCAGGGGTCAGTAACTAGCAGTCTTGGCCACACTCCTCCGAATCTATCCTCCACATGGCACCCAGAATCATTTCCCTAAAATGTATATCTGAGCATATCACTTCCCTGCTTAAAGCCTTCAGTGGTTCCCCATCCCTTCTGGATAAAATCAACATTCCTTAAAACGACTCCAACCTTCCTATCGGGGCCTCTTCTCTGTCCGCTCTCACTAGTGATGCTCGAGCTTCAAGGAGTACTAACCTACTCATAGTCTCCAGCATACTCTCTCATCTCAAGGTTTTTGCATGGATTATTCCCTCTGCATAAAATCCCCTCCCACCCTCTTCGCAGGTTCACTCTACCCATGCTTCAGGCCTCAGCTTAGATTTCACTGTCTTTCAAGCAGCCTTCGAGGGGCCCATGAAAATGTTTTGATTTCTTTTAAAATCAGAAGAAAAAATGAACGCTTAGGTCCAAAAAATGTTTGAATACATAATATAAATAATATATTTGTCTTTATATCAATGCAGTTGCAAAATATAATTTTTAATTTTTTTATGGAGGAAGGGGTCCATGAAGACAGAAGTACCAAGGCCTACAAAAGTTGCAGGTGCCCTGCTCCCGCAGGCTCCCCTAGCTCCCTGACCTCACTCCAGTCGTAGCTCTCCCCGCACCACATGGTAACTGCTGGGCACTTGATGCCTCCCCCACCTGACAGGCCCTGGGAGGGCAGGGCCCGTTTTGTTCCCCTTCGTATCCACAGTGCCTAGAGTACAGTCTGGTCCTGGTAGAGTCTCTGCAAACATTGGTGGGTGAATGAATGAATGAGTGCCCTGATCTCAGGTAACAGCAGGGTCACATTCCCAGTAAAGACAAGGCTGCAGGTCCTGCCTGGCTCCACCTACCTCTCACCTGGTGTACAGTCTTGGTACAAATACTAGGTATGTGTGACCTGGGGCAACTCACTTAATCTCTCTGAATCTCAGTATTGCCATCTGTAAAATGGGAACAATAATAGTCCCTAACCTCATTAGGTTCCTATGAGGAGTAAATGAAAGAATACACTAGTTGTGAGGGGCTTAGAACAGTTCCTGTTGTCTAGTAAGCACTCAATCATTATTGCCTATTATTATTGTTGTTGTTGTGGCCAATGAGTGTCCTATCTCTCCCAGAGGTATTTTCACTTGAGAGTTGGCTCTTGGAGACAAGAAGACATTACTTACCTCCCCCGACTGCCAATGATTATCTCTAAAGGTGGAATTTCAGGTTGTGTAGGAAAGACTATCAGAAGCAAAGAGATCTTCTCATAGCTTCAAATCATCTTCTATGAGCCCCACCTGGGTAGCTTATGGGGCTGGGGGTGGGGCAAGACCTATTACAGGGGAAAAGGCACGAATATTAGAGTCCGATGGATTGGGTTCTGTCTCAGGCTGCTATAACAGAATATCATAGACTGGGTGGCTTAAACAACAGAAATTTATTTCTCACAGTTCTGGAGGATGGGAAGTCCAAGATCAAGGTGATGGCTGATTTGGTTCTTGGTCAAGGCTCTCTTCCTGGTGTGCAGACACCTGTTTTCATGCTGTATCCTCACATGGTGGAAAGCAGAGAAAGAAAGCAAGCTCTCTCACGTCTCTTCTTATAAGTCCCATCATGAAGGCTCCACTGTCATGACCTAGTTACCTCCTAAAGGTCCCATCTCCAAACACCATCACATTGGGGATTAGGGTTTCAACATATGAACTTGGGAGGGGGACATAAACATTCAGTCCATAACAGGTTCAAATCCCAAATCCAATCCTTCCAACCCTTACTACACTCTGCAAACTTCCAATTCCTCAGTTGCAAAATGAGGCTCATAATAGCACCTACCTCGAGGGGTGCCTGGGAGGATTAAATGAGCTACTGTACGTGAAATGCCCAGCCCACTGCCTGGCACTTGGTAGGTTAGTCCCCTCTCCTCCCACCTATAAACATTCTCAAAGGATGGAGCACACATGAATTGGACACCACGTACTCAGAGGTACAAAAATGGAATGTTCCTTAATTTTCTCTCCCTGAACTGAGCTCTTGTGCTCCCACTCCTCTGAGGGGAGGAAAGTATCATCTAAACTGTCAGGCAACCTCAGTCACATCCCATCATGCCCAGTCACTTCAGAATCCCAGCCAGCCCCCTCCCTCCGTGGGGAGTCCAGGGCTTACCTGGTGCTCAGGCTGTGTGTCTGGCCTGTGGTAGTTCGACAAGCATCCACACTGGCCTCTGCCAGACTGTTCTGGTCCTCATCTGGGGACAGGAGCATACTCTGCCCACAGCCATGGTCCAGCTGTGGCCCTGTGGTAGTGTGACCAACCATCTCAGTTTCCCAGTTTTAGCACTGAAAGCTCCATGTCCCAGGAAACCCTCAGTCCCAAGCAAACCAGAATGGTTGGGCATCCCACCCTGTTGGCCTGTCCATGCCCTCTCCAACCTCCAAGCTCCAACCTCATGGCCCCCAGAGGTCCTTCCACCCTCCTGGGTTCCCACTGGGGAGAGAGAGAGGTCTATGCTGCTGTATACACCTCACGCTGGAGTGGCCAGGGCTCTGGAGACTGCCCTTAGCCACCTACCCAACGGACCACTGAGCCAGAGCCTCTGCTAGGCTGGCAGCCTGCAAACACGGTCTACAGACACGCTGTTGACACACTTTCTGCCCTGGGTCTTTCAGGCTTTGGTTTGTGACCTTCAAAGCCAGCCTCTTGGGACTTGAAAATCCTGTTCTCACTCACAAAGCCTGACTCTTGCTATCATTGCTATCACTGGCTATCACCACTGTTCTCTGTGCTGGGAGTTTAAACTTTTTTAATTTAGCAAGAGCAGATAGCATTTACTGAGTGCTTACTGCTCGCCAGACACTGTTCTAGTATTTTACATCTATTAACGTATTTGATCCTCATGACCTCTTAGGGTGCTATTACTGGCACCCTCACTTTAGACTGGAACCCGAGGTCCAGAGAGACCAAGTAACTTGTCCAAGGTCACACAGCTAGCTGGTAAGTGTGGAGCCAGGGTTGAATTCCCGCTGACTGGGCCCCAGGGCCCTGTTCTTAGCTATGTTTCTTTTCTTTTATTAGTAGGTTCATTGTCTTTGTTCAGTGTGGAGAGGAAGGTGTAGGGGAGGGCTAGAAGGTCATGGAAAATAAGCCTAGGTCCATATCTCCCAATTTTATCTCAAGAATACAAAGCGGCACATATAAACATGCTCATGTATAGCATCATAATTGTGGTGACATCATAGCGAAATGGTGGAAGGAATCGAAAAGGCCGATCGCAGAGGGCCAATCTGATTAATTCAGCCTGAGATTAACTCTGTGTGGAAGGGCAGGGCGGAGGTGCGACGGTGGGTGGAGACGCAGGCCTGCCTGCCGGGGGCTCGCTGCCTGCCCGGTGCCCACCTACCCTTTCCCGGGTAGATTTCTTCAGTCGCTTCTCCTGGGCTCCCGGGGCCTCTTCCCCCGCCCCAACCCCCGTCCCCATCCCCCGCGTAGCCTGCTCAGCCCCCTCCCGCCACGCCCCCTAGGGATGATCTGCCCCCAACCCCGCGATCTCCCACACCAGCAGGCCCTGCCCGTGCTCGGTCCTGCCGGCCCCCCACGAGTGCTCAACACCCCTTCCCCTCTCGCAGGGCCTGCCCAGCCCCCTCCTGCGCTGTCCGTCGCAGCGACTCCTGGACCGCGTGGTCCGGCGCTACGCTGAGGTGGCCGATGCCGGCAGCATCTTCATGGACCACTTCACGGACCGCGACAAGTTGCGTCTGCTCTACACGCTGGCTGTTAACGCCCATCCCATCCTCCTACAGGTACGCAGCGACCCCCGGAAAGCCCCTCCAGGGACCGGGTTCAAGTTAGGCTCTGAGGGGGCTGGCCCTGCGTTGAGCTCTCTCCTGCTTTGCTGCCCGCATTGGGGCATCAGCCCATGTTTGTACCCGTGTGGCATTCAGTAAATACCCATTGACTTCTGCAGTGGGAAAGTGCTATTGTTGCTATAGAGGAAAGAGGTGTGAGAACTCAAGGCTGGGGTGGGGGGTGACAAGGATCAATGGCCACCTTCACTGCCTGAGGCAGCCCTGAAGGGCTTTGTGAAGGAGGGAAACCTTGACCTGTACCTCAAAGATCATTAAGATTTGAGCAAGCTCAAGAAGTGGAGAAATAGCCAAAGAATGACCCACAGGGAGATGTGCCCCGCAGCTATGCTTGGAAAGTAGAAAAAAATGGAAGTAACCTAAATGTCCATCAATAGGGGAATGGTCAAATAAATGAGTGTGCTAGAACCTGGGGATACACTGGTCAACAAGGCAGGCTTGGTGGCCCCTGCCTTCATAAAGCTTCCAGTCCAGTGGCAGAGATAGCTGCTTATCAAGTCAACAAGCATCCATAGAAGACGTGGAGCCCAATTGCACCCATTTGCCCCAAATCCCAAGAGTCAAGACACTCACATAATGGGCATAAAGGAAACTAGGAAGTGGGAGGAAGGAGCAGAAAAAGGAGGAGGGGTAGAAAGAGGATGAGGGAGGAAGAGGAGGAAGGGGGGAGAAGAAGGAAGAAAAGGAGGAGAGGGAGGAGGGGAGGGAGAGGAAGAAGAAAAGGAAGAAGAGAGAGAGAAGGTGCAGGTAAAGGAGAGGGTAGAAGCGGAAGAAGCCACAATGAAGACAGTTAATATTTATTATTGTAATTAATTACATAATGTAATCATACATAATAATTATATAATATATTATATATAACTCTAATTATATTATATATGTTATATTTTAATTATATGTTATTAAATATATATTATATATAATTATATATTATTGGCCAAAAGGATGACGGCTAAATACATACTAACAGCTCTCATTTATTGAGCACCTGCTGTGTGCCAGGCATTGTGTTCAGTGTTTGACATCATCATCTCATTTAATGCTCAGGACAACTCGACAACCCCATAGGAATATTATTACTGTCCCCTTTCCCAGATGACATAAGTGGGGCTCAGAGATGTGAAGTGACTTGGCCACAGTCACTTAGCCAGTGTCAGCAGTGGAACCCAAACCCAGAGCTGTCAGACTTCAGGGTCCGTGCTCTTTCCGCTAAAACCCGCCCAGTAACATTAGCATTTTCAATCCGAGAGGAGGAGGAGGAATTGCTGGTTGTCCTCCACTCTCAGAGGTCGTCTTCTCCCGTTGTCCTAATCTTGGCAGTGGCAGAACCTGGCTACTGGCAGCCCTGGCTCCTGAGAGGCCTCGGCTGGGACCCTCCAGCCACCCTGAGCTCTGCCCGCGAAGGGCATGGCGTGGATCTGCCGCCAACCCGGGGATGACTCTGCAGCTGGACATTTAGACATCGCCAGTAGCCCTGGGCCCTCCCTCCACAGCACGTAGTGGGAGAAGTCCCCGTTAGGCAGGGGAAACAAGAAAGGGTTTGTCACAATGTGGCAGGAGGGTAAAAATGGGCAGAAGGCCATGGGAAATCATCAGAGAGGGGGATGACTTCATTTTTTTAAGAAGGAAAACGAGACAAAAAGTGCTAAGTATTTATAGTTTCTGTCATTTCCCCCATAGTTTAAAGAAATACCATTCTAGATATAGCTGCTTCAATAAATAGTCAAGAAAAGGCCAGCCAGGATTCCCTCCTCTTTTTCGTCTCACACATCCACAAGTTTGGAGCTTTTACAAGGAGACAGAGGAGACCAGCTGGGGCTGCGTGCTTCCCTAGACCAGTGTTAGGCTGTCGGAAGGTTCCAGTCAGTTGGGGAGCATCTGTGAGTATGTACTTACCCCAGCCAGACAGATTTGCCCAAGGCCCGGAGGAGACTTTGGACCAGTGCAGTGGTTCCTAAAACTTGAGTCTCCGAGGGCCATCTCCATGATTCTGCCCTATCCCAGAACCTGGTGCCTGCACTGTTATTTTTAAAAATATTTTTCCTTAAATTGGCCTTAAGTTGACTCTCTTTTTTTTCCCCCATGGGCTCTTCCTAAGCAGCGGTATCTGTGAAATCTCAAAACCTAGTCACATTTTTTTCAACTCTCCAACTCTTAAAATAAGCATATTCCCCTGAATCCCGAATACCATCTACAATCGGCAAGTGCATCAGCGTTCTCATACCTCCGGGGAAACTCCAGCATTCTCATACCTCTGGGGAAACTCCGTTGAAATGCACCCCACTGCATGGAAATAAGGCTTCCTTTTCTGAATCTCTCCATTAAAAAAGAGCAGGAGGGCGGGGGGTGGGGGGGAATTGCCATGTTCCAAGAGGTATAAAAAAGGTTGAGGGACACTTTGCCGACATGTTTTGAGAAGGAGAATGCCTGCATAAGGCTGATCTTTCTGTGTGCTCGTGGTGAGAGGCAGAGGGAGAGCTGTCTCCGTGAGTTTTTTCTCTCTAATCCTCTGATGCCTCCTCCTCCCGGCTGGCAGATCTTCCCTGGCGCCGAGGGATGGCCGCTGCCCAAGTACCTGGGCTCCTGTGGCAGATTCCTCGTCAGCACCAGCACCAGCCCGCTGCAGGAATTCTATGGCGCACCCCCAGACCAGGCGGCCGACCTGGCCTACCAGCTCCTTGGTGTCCTGGAGTCTCTGAGGAGCAACGATTTGAACTACTTCTTCTACTTCACCCACGTTGATGCGGGCATGTTTGGCATCTTTAACAACGGGCATCTGTTCATCCGGGATGCCAGCACACTGGGCGTCATCGACAAGCAGGAAGGTAGCCAGCATGGGCCTGGCTGAGCATCTGTCAGAGGGGAAGTCAGAGTGACAAGAGCTAAGGAGAGGCGACCAGGGGTCGCACAATTGGGCCTGTCCAGTCTCTGTGTGTCATAGCGAGAGCAGCTCAAGTTCAGGGGATGTTAGCTGTCATGTAAAAAGTGTGACTCCCCCTTTAGAGTCTCTGCTCCAACTCCATCGCCAAAGGGGAGCTGGACTTGACCTTATCCATGGCCAAGGGGGCATTTTGCATTGTGGCGTGGCCTGACTGCACCCTCCGAGGGACCTGCTGTTGTCCAATTTGGTCTGTGTGGCCTGGAGACCAGCCCTGCCCCCCCAGCACACACAACGCCTGTATCCATCTCCCCCTCAGAACCTTTCCCATCAGATGCTTTTACCCTTATCTGAAACTTAAATATCTGGCTGATTCACTGGCACATTTCACAATCCATTTTGGGATGTTTGCTTTTTATAAAGTTTTCAAATTAAAAAGCATGGCGCCCAATGAGGTGTATGAGGGAATCACGTTTCTCACTGTGTGCACAGGCTCATCCAGGGTTCTAGAATCCTTTGAACATCCCAATCTCTAACAGTGACCAAATTTTCTGAGCCCAATAATAGGACAGAGGATTTTCTTTTCTGATTTTGTTTATATCAGAAGGCCTACAAAGATAGACCATTGAAACAACACTATTCATTTCCTGATTTGCCTTTATTAAGAAGAATCAAATTATAAGAAATGAGAGTGATTCCATAATATTCGAGATATGTAAACCACTGAATGTCAGTCCCACTACAACCTGCGAAATGCATAAGAACAGGATTACCTGTTCTTTCCCCTGACTTTGTATTTAAAAAGAGCAAATGAAACTGGTCCTAGTAATTTCCTGAGTTCCCTAATTCCGTAATAATAATGGGAAAATCACAATGTGGAAGTGAGCCTTACAATTAGAAGCCCAGCTTCTGGTGGGGATAAGTGGATTTCCACGCCCAGGCCTCATCCTATTGTAGCGGAGAGAGTTCCTCCCATGTTCTTCTCAGCAGGGCCATTGTGTCCCCGAGCCCTAAATCTCCTGGTGACAGGAGAGGCTAGGAGTCTAAACCACTTCACCCAACAGTTCTAAGCAGTGGTGCCTCCCCCAAGGACAAGAGGCTGTAGGATGTGTAACATCTCCCGTTTCTCTTCTAGGCAACCAAGCAGCCACCAGGGCAGGAGAGAACAAAGACATCTTTAGCTGCCTGGTTTCTGACTGCCAGGCCGCGCTGCCTTCCTGTGACACCGTCCCTGAGAGGCAGAGCCTGGTGCTGGTGTGTGGGCAGGTGCTGCCTCGACTTCTCCAGGGGAAGTTCCCCTCCCCGGTGCAGGAGGAGATAGACGCTGCCCTTGCTTGGTGTGGGGACGACACCCGCCCAGACGCCGAAGTCCTTGGGGCCGCCAGCCGGCTGAAGGACATCTTGAGGCCCCTGAGAACCTGTGACCCCAGATTTGCCTACCGTTACCCAGACTGCAAGTATAATGATAAGTTCTGAGGGGCTGAAGCCTAGCTGGCCTCCTGGAACAACATCCTCTGCCCTCTGTTCCCCAGTTGGACTGCTGCAAGGTTGAAAGCAGCAGCTCCATTGTAGACATTAGGAGAAACGCACATTCATGTCCCAAGGACTGAGGAGCACTCCTGCGACCAGAGGGCAGTCGTGGGACACAGCGTGACTGCCCCCACTAGCCGGGATGTCATGGGAGAGCCCAGGGGTGGGCATCAGAAGACCCCAGTGCGGACTCTTCCTCGACCTCTTTGAGCCTCAGTTTCCTCTGTTCTCCACCAGACTCTTGAGTTAGTGAAAGAAATCAAAGATATGAAGGGCCAGGGACACATCCTCCCCACCCCGAGCCCAGGTGGTTACAGAATGTTCCAGAAGCATGCACAGACACGGCAAATGAGACAGAACCATGGAGGTGAAGAGGCTGGCGCGGAGGGAAGGTGAGGCCTCTGGCCAGTAGCACGTTAGACTCGGGCAGGAGGGACCCCTTCCTGCTCCCTGTGCCCCTGCTCTAGCCCTCCTGCCACACTCCCCACACTGCCATGGGGTGAGGAGACTGCAGGCCAAGGGGGAATGTGGACAGGACCATGCCCTGGGTGCCTCGGGCCCCACATGCGTGCGTGTGAGGTGCTTCATGGTGTGGGAAGGAGCCAGGGCTCAGAAGAGAGGGGAGTGGGCTGGCGGCCAATGTGTTCATCTAGGTCCTCTGAGAAGCAGGTGTCAAGACAGGATTAAATGACCAAGGATTGTATTAAGGAAGATGCTTGCGTGGAAGGAAAGAAGGAGGAGCCGGAGACGGCTGGGAGAACCATCAGGCCATGCTGTAAGTCTGAGCCCCAGTGAGGGAGAGAAGGTCACGAGGGAGCATCCTAGACTGCCCTCTGGAAGGTTCGGCAAGGCTGTCAGGGTGTCCTTGAGGCAAAGCTAGCCATCAGAGGAGCCCTGAGTCTCCCAAGGATGGGTGGCCCTTATATCCCTGCTGCAGGGAACAGCCTATGGGAAGCATGGCCACAGCCAAACCGCGAAGATGGATTTCAAAGCTGAGCGCAGGGCACCTAACCAGTTCTGCTCCCTGGAGCGGGAGGTCTGTGAGTAGAACATTCTCATTGTAGCCACAGCTGGAGACCCGGGCCAGCTCTCTCCACATCACAGCCTCCAGTGCAGGACTCTAAGCAGTCCAAGAATTTTCATTCAAACTTGGCCTTACAGGTCATAGTAAAAATGTGTTTTTCCAAGGTCAGCCAACAGAACATATTTTATTCAACAGTTTGTTAGTTTGCTTTATACCTTTTAAATGTTTAGCCATGGTATGTGGGCCTCCATGTATCTTCTTGCCCCAGCCCCTCAAACATTAGTGGGGGTCTCTTTGGACCTTTGTCCGGCCTCCCTGCCAGCCCTCTATCCCCAGGACCTCTCAGTTGCCCTCCTCTTTTCTACCTCTGAATCACCACCTATAGGTCAGAATGCCTGGCTTAACAGGCTCCATGCTGCAGATGGGGAAACTGAGGCCCAGGGAGGAAGAGTAACTTCCTGCTACCAGTCCCTGCCCCTCTTGCCTTCCCCTTCAGCCTCTGACTTTCACCCTGTCCTACCCAATTCTGGTCCCTTCAACTCACATTTAAAGATGGGCCAAGAAAAGTCCTATTTTCTGGTGCACTAGATTGCCTTTGGGGTTTGCTTTTTGACTGCTCCAGGCACGACCCCCGGGGCAACCATGACAGTGAGGATGACAGGCCAAGTTTCTGGAAGGGCAGGCTTGGGCTGCCTGAGAGTCTTTGAGACAGTTTTTCTGGCCTGGTCGGGAGGGTGAGGATTGATCACCCTCTCAACACCTTGCTTTCAGCCCAGTGAAACCGATCTTAGATTTCTGGCCTTCAGAACTGTGAGAGGATAAATTTCTATTGTTGTAAGCTACCCACTTTGTAGTAATTTGTTACAGCAGTCACAGGAAACTAACACACACCTGGAACTCCATCTTAACGTCTGCTTCCAGAGAACCCAACCTGCAGTACTCCCCAACTCCAGTCTATTGTGATGGATTCAAAAGCCAGACCCGACGTGAGGGGTGTGTTATGCGTCTGTACCCAGGGCTGAGGATTGGACGGTGCCGTACCTCCACTTGCTAAGTCCCCAGCATCATTTAAGACCCTGTCTGAGTCCTACCTTGATGGGAAGCTTTTCCTGACAGCCCGGCCCCCAGCGAGCCCTTTCTGAATCCCATCTCTGTAATCCCAAAGGTATTCCAGAGAGATCTGTGTCCTACCTTCCCGTCCCGCTGGGAACACCCTGAGCATGGCAGTGGCATGGGGCCCTTTGTGTTCCCCATAGCAACCGGCACAGGGCTGGGCACAAAGCAGGTGCTCGGAAAATGTTCTTGCTGAGGATGACTGTGTTCTTTAGCCCTTTTCCTTGGTGTTTTTCACATACCACGTGCTATAGACTGAATGTGTCCCCCCAAAATTCATATATTGAAATTCTACCCCTTAGGGTGAAGGTATTAGGAGGTGGGGCCTTTAGGGGGCGATTAGATCATGAGGGTGGAGCCCTCATGAATGGAATTAGTTCCCTTATAAAGAAAGCCCAGAGAGCTCCCTCATCCACCACATGAGGACACAGTGAGAAGGCACCGACTATGAACCAAGAAGTGGGCCCTCACCAGACACTGAATCTGCCGGTGCCTTGATCTTGGACTTCCCAGCCTCCAGAACTGTGAGAAATAAATGTTTGTTTCTTATAAGCCACCCTGTTTGTGGTATTTGGTTATAGCAGCCCGAACGGACCAAGATACCATGCTGGCCATTTACAGGACACAGCCACTTCCTTGAAAACAGCTCTTTCCCCTCAACAGCCAGGAGACAGATGAGTCCACACTGAACCAGAACAAAATCATTGCAGTACATTCTCAGTCCCCTGGAATCTGATTGGAGGCGTTAGAGTATTTTTCTGAGTTTTGCCAGCCACTGCCTTTTTGCCTACAGGACTGGCTACGTAATTTGTGGAGCCCAGTGCAAAATGAAAATGTGGGGCCTCTTGTTATTAAGAATTGCAAGACAGAGACAACAGAGCATTAAACTAAGTCCAGGCCCCGTGCGACTGCATGGGTTGCATGCCTACGAAGCCCACCCTGAGTGCCTGAGAGTACTAATTCTCCTTAACCTTGGCATAGCGTGTTCCTGGAGCTTGCTGGGGTCTCACTCAACCTCCACAACCAAGGGAAGTAGGTGTGGGACCAGAGGTGATGTATAAAATAGTTCACCACCACCATGACATAGGAACTGACCCATGAGAACAGACTCCATGGCTGCAGCTATCAAGTAGGCATAACACAGCCCTGAGCGGAAATCCTACTTTTCAAATGAGGAGACTGGTTTAAGTTATTTGCTCAAAGTGACAAATTTTAGATCCCCTGCCTTCCCAGTCCTCCCCTGTAGCATCTGACTTCTGCCTATTCCAGGAGCCTGAACATTCTCTCTAGAGTTACTTTGTTGGATTTGTGTTCTTTTTGGAAAGATCTGGAGCTCTGAAATCAGACAGATCTGGTTGCAAATCATGACTCTGCTGGTTACTGTGTAACGTTGGACAAGTTGTTTGACCTCTCTGAGCCTCACTTTCCTCCTCCATAAAATGGAGAGGAAAAGATTTATCCTCAAAGGGTTATTGTCCTGTTTAAATAAGGCAATGTCTCTCAAGAGCCTGGCACATAAGGACATTCTGTATTTAAAGGCAAATGTAGGGAAACAGCAGAGGGTCTCCTGGCAGAAAGGGATCCTCACACAGCCAAGGTGAGGGCTGCAGCCTCTTGGGAGGGACCCTGATCCCTGCCCCAAGCCTCTACTCCAGCCCAAAGGAACTGCCAGGATGCAGAAGGCTGCTAGATAGTCTGACTGGGGCCGTTTTCCCTCCCGCTAGCCAGACTCTGGGTTAATCATGAATGGCAGCTGGGCAGCCACTACACTCACCTCCCCTGCCCAGCCCTCCTCAAGCAGGGAATGCTGGGAACCTTGGGAAGTCCATCCACACTCAGTATTGAAGAGAAAGGAGGAAGCGATCTTAGCCCATTGAAAGCTCCAGGTTCACTGCCTGTTGGTGGTGACGTGGCTTTTCTGCCCACTTCAGGCCTGTTGCCCACATATATTGGCACAGCTGGGCTCATGTGCACACAAATATACTCTGGTCCATCCACAGTTCTTTATGGCATTGTTTAAGAATGGTTGTGGGCTGTGTGAGAGAGTAAACACCCAGGCGGGAGGCCCCGAATTTGCAGATATAAGGACCCTCCAAAAAGGCAACTTAGAGGAGTGGACCGGCAAAGGGGAGCTAGGCAACTTGTTTAAGTGGCCCACTCATTGGAGTTCTTTGTAGAAGTAGACAAGGAGAGGGAGCATCCTTGTCCCACTAGGGTGACCAGGGCGTAGTCTCAGGCCCGGGCTGCAACTGGAGAGGCAGTGTGGCTGCACAGAGGGAGCAGCTTCTCTGGAAGCAGACACGTCTACCTTCAGATCCGGCGCCAGCCCCTCTCACAAAAGTCAGTGCATCAGAGTTATTTATTGCAGCGTTGTTTGTAATTGCAAATACTGGAAATAACCTAAATGCCCGTACATGGGAGAATGGCTGAGTAAACTGCAGTACATCCTCTTGATGGAGTGCTATGCAGCTCTGCAAATGAATGAGGAAGAGCCCTATGAACTGACACAGAATGATTCGCAGGATGTACTGTTAAGTGAGAGAAAAACGCAAAGCATACAAGGGTGTTTATACGATGCTACCTTTCATATATGAAAGAAGGGGATAAAAGAAAACATTCATGTATCTGCTAACCTGTGATGCAAAAAATATATATATATATTTGTATATAAAGATACATATATGAAAAATAAACTAGCAGCTAATGAGATCGGTTACCTATAGGGGTGGGTGAGAACAGGGTGGAAAGAAGGGAGGGATGGGAGTGGGGTTGCAGGGATAAGGAAGGAGGGAAACTTTTCTGAGTATACCTTTTTGTATAAATCTGACTCTCAGAACCATGGGAATGTCTCCCATAATCCACAAATAAATAACTAAGATCAACCAGTGGGTTGAACTAAAATGAAATATAAACAATAGCAAATGGATCTAACTTTATTACAAACAAATAAGATAACTACACCAAAGAACTAAGCTAAGTACCTTGGAAAGTGAGCGTTTTGACTACCCAAGTACAAGCCAAAGACAAAAAGAACTGTACGCACGCTTTAAAATGATCAATTTTATGTTATGTGAATTTCATCACAATTCAAAAAGAGAGCAGAAAAAAAGAACCATACACAAAAATTGTGCTCTAGTTAGTAAATATTTTTCCCATGGGGAACTGGGTTAGCAATTCTGAAACTACTTGAAGTGTTGAGCAAGTAAGTAAATATATTGTGGATAATGAGAGATGGGCTTCTCACTGGTGGAGAAAGGAGTTACAAGTAAGGAAAGACGGAAGGCAAAATTGAACCCTGTGATGTTAGACTGGAAGTTATCACTATGAACTCGGGATTTTTGATATGTATACACAAATGGATAGGTATAGAAACAGATAAAGATGTGAGTATAGAGAAATATATTTCCTAGCTCTGTCTTTAAGATGGCCTATAAGCAGTGACACCCTCATGCCTAGTGCTCAGGTCTTGGTTTCTCCAGTAAAAGAAACCAGAGCTCTTTGGAGAAATGGCTGATTCCAAGACTAGGACAGGGAAAGTACAAGATGAGTCTGGAATAATTTTGTGTTGCCAGAAAGGAAGGAAGTGCTCAAAAAATTGGGGGCGTGTCAAAACGACACGGGAGGTGACTTGAAGGGGCTCCCAATGGCCAAATCTGGGACAGTTTGAGCTACAAAATAAGTAATGATAGTAATGGGTTATAATTTACAGAATAAAATAAATTATTATGAGACCACACTGATACAAATAAATAACCCAATAAGTAAATAAATTGGGGAGGCAAGGGCTCTTCCTTACAGTACAATTCCAATTAA